TCCCCTAAAGTTAAAGACTTGTATATTATAAAGCAGGTTCTGTTTCCAGAGAATCAGAAAGCATTACCATATCTGTAATCATACCTTGCTACTAGATTTCATCTTCACTGATGGAATCACAACATTTCATACGCATTCTTTAATTTTATTTTTCTTTTTTTTTGGCTCGTATTCAGTGGCCATACATTAAGGTAAAAAAGCGTCCTTTTTAAAAAAAGTAACTCCAGTGGAGACACCTGGTAGACATCACCTCAATCAAATAGTGTAGATGAGTTTGGGTACGGTGGCTCCTACCTATAATCCCAGCACTTTGGGGGGCCCAGGCAGGCAGATCGCCTGAGACCAGGAGTTCGAGACCAGCCTGGCCAACATGGCAAAACCCCATCTCTACTAAAAGTACAAAATTTAGCCAGGCGTGGTGGCCGGCACTTGTAATCCTAGCTATTCCGGAGGCTGAGGCAGGAGAATTTCTTGAACCCAGCAGCCAGAGGTTGCAGTGAGCTGAGATCATGCCACTGCACTCAGCCTGGGTGACAGAGAAAGCCTCTTTCTCAAAAAAAAAAAAGATCCAGATGAACTTGCTGGTACCATGTCGCTTTGTTCTAATGTTGTGAGAAGAGCACTTCACCTCTGTGGTTTCTTCTAGAAACTCCCGGCTACAGTCCCATGATGAGAAAAATACAGACAAACACAAATTGAGGGACATTCTACAAAATACCTGACCATCACTCTCCAAATTTTAAAATCGCCTTTGCTTTTTTGGTGTAAAAATGAAATGTGTCCTTTATAATTCACCTAATGATTTCCATCTCTATTTCACATCGAAGGCACGAGTGCTTTGGTTTTTCAGTTTCACTGATTTTTATGAAACAATGTGGACGAAATGCAATTTATATACTATAACTGCATAAACACTACCTGTGGGAAGAAAGTTGCCCAGGTGCCAAGGCAAGAGACTGAAGGCACAAGCTGTCCCGGTATAATCAATAACTGATTACTTAGTTTTAGCAATGATACCAAATATATTTAGAAACAATCACATCATCAATTATATAATCCGTCCTATTAAATCATGATTCTTTATTAATCTTTGCTTTAGAGCATAGAATCATTTTAGTCTTATAGTACAGACACAATCGGGTCAAATATAATTCAGAACTGAAGGGACATTGTGAAACTGATCAGGAGGCGAGAGTAAATGCCCTGGGAAGATGCCCGTTACTTAGCAGGCCATGAAGGGGAGTTTCCCTTTCACTGGGGGAGTTCAGAGAACATCTACTCTGCCCGGCTCGTGAGGAAGGCCTGACATTAGTCAGCCCAGCCCGCAGACATCCAGGGGCTTAAATGCCTCTCTGTGGTGCTGTGCTCTGATGGTCACCATCCTTGTCCACTTTCATGTTCTACTTTCTCACTGAGTGCTTTTTCTAAGTTCTTAGAAGTTGTGAGAAGTAAAGAATAGAGGAATCCTAAAAGCCTGTGATCTTTCTGAGAGTGTATAGATAGATGCTGACGTATGTGCCTCCCCCACTTGCAGAGGCTACCTGAAAGGGAGGAGCCCCTGTACTGTAAGCACATGATTTGCTTGACCCTATCAATCACGTCAGATGATTCTCTTTCCTTACCCTGCCCCCCTGCCTTGTATACAATAAATATCAGTTCGTCCAGGCATTCAGGCCACTGCTGGACTCCATGTTGGTACTAGTGGTGTCCCGGGCCCAGCTGAATTCTTCTCTCATCTCTGTGCCTTGTGTCTTTCTTTCCTGCGATCTATCACCTCCACACACAAAAGAACACCCACTAGACCCTGCGAGGCTGGACCCTGCAACCACCATTGAAAAAAAAAAATGGAACAGGGCCTCAGGGAGGGTAGGGCTGACTGGCAAGCAGCATTTGAGCTGTTCATTCCTCAGTGATCATGAGAATCCCAGAAGTGATTTAGGGGTGTATGTCCCTGTCGAACTTCTCTCAATCAATTCCTGCTAACTTAAGCAATAAACGCGTTAATGGAAAAGAAATTGAATACCTTGAGAAGTTAAAGAGCTGACTATGCAGGTCAGATGTAGGGACTCACACCTGTAATCCCAACCCTTTGGAAGTCCAACGCAGGAGGATTGTTTGAGCCCAGGAGTTCAAGACAGCTTGGACAGTATAGTGCGACCCCATCTCTGCCAAAAATTTTAAAAAGTAGCAGGGCATAGTGGTTCATGCCTATAGTTCCGGCTATTCAGGAGGCTGAGGTGGGAGGATTGCTTCAGCCAGGGAGGTGGAGGTTGCAATGAGCCTTGATCACACCACTGCATTCCAGCATTCCAGTCTGGGCAACAGAGTGAGATCTTACTAAAAAAAAAAAGTCAGGCGTGGTGGCTCAGGCCTGTAATTCCAGCACTTTGGGAGGCTAAGGCGAGTGGATTACCTGAGGTCAAGAGTTAGAGATCAGCCTGACCAATGTGCTGAAACCCTGTCTCTACTAAAAATACAAAAATTAGGCAGGCATGATGGCACGTGCATGTAATCTCAGCTACTCAGGAGGCTGAGACAGGAGAATCATTTGAACCTGGGAGGCGGAAGTTGAGGTGAGCCAAGATCACACCATTGCACTCCAGCCTGGGCAATAAGAGTGAAACTCAATCTCAAAAAAAACAAAATCAAAAATTAGCCAGGCATGGTGGGGCACGCCTGTAATCCCAGCTACTTAGGAGACTGAGGCAGGAGAATCACTTGAATCCCTGGGAGGTAGAGGTTGCAGTGAGCCGAGATCACACCATCGCACTCCAGCTTGGGTAACAAGAGTGAAATTCCATCTCAAAAAAAAAAAAAAAGTTAATCATGTGGTTTCAGGAAAGAAACTGAAACCCAGAAGAACCCAGGAAGCTCCAGGCATCTGGGGGACAAGGGACAAGAAGTGATGGATGCTGTCCCCAGGCACTGCCAGGGGAATAATGAAGTTCCTATCCTTTTTCATCCTTGAATTATTTGCCTCCATATTCAGTTCCACGAGGGAGATGCTGTTTCACTTAACAGGGAGCGGCAGAGACCACTGGTTGCTGTAGCAGAGTTTATGCTCACCTAATACCTCATGGACTTCCCAATGTTTCCCAGCCTGCCTTTCAGTTAGGTTGGGGCCATGTGACTAATCCTGGCCAAAAGAGATGTGTGTCCTTTCCAAGATGAGAGAGTTACAAGCTGGTGTGCCTCCTTGGTCCTTCTATTGCCCCATTGCCTATCCCTTGGAGGCATTTCCAGGTGACCTAGCCATGCTGACCTCTATTGCTGGACTGCCAGCTCAGGAGGACAAGGTTCACAACTGCCCATCACAGCGCTGGTACACTGCAGGTGCTCGGTAAGTACGTGCTAAATGGAGAAGTTAATGCACAAATAATTCCTAAAACCCTGTGGTGCCCTTCACTTACCTGTGTGTCTCCCCAACCAGACCAGGAGCTTCTGCAATGCAGCAGCTGGGTCTCACTCAACTTGATAGGCCTCATGCCCAGCACTGCACTGGCACAGAGTGATACCCAACAGATTTGTTTAATGTTGGATGAAGTGAAAATGACTGGATGGTTGCATGTGTAGATGTACTGGTGAGTTGGAGGCCAGTTGTACCCCAGTCAATAAACTGCTGTTTGTTTCTGTATATATCTTTTGAGATTCACTATAATTCCTGGGAGAAACAGCAGCATCCAAGGCAGCTCAGCCACAAAAATCCAAGCAGTCAGTCCCTAACCACCGTTGGAGTAGCCACCGCCACCTCCTCTGCCCAGGGCCTGTGAGCTTGTGAGCCCTGTGAGGTCCCTGGCCACACACACCACACAACACTACTCCTAGTGCACTCAGCTGGCTGCCCTGCCTTGAGAAGAGAAGG